CATGTGATTAAAAAGCAATGCAAAACAAAAAATAATCAAAATGCAGACAACTATTTATGTTCAATTATTCACATGTATTTTTAAATTGGAAAGGATGAGAGACACCCTGAAAAGTTATTTACCAGAATTATTTGACTGGAAGGGATCATAGGGGAAGTCCTAATACTGTCTAAACTATTCCCACTGAAAACAACCAGCGTACCTCTTCTTGAGGGGTACAGATATGAGAAGAGACTGGGGAGCTGCAGAAGCCAAGCATCTGTGTTATAATACAGCAAATGATAATACAGTGGGAGGAGGAGGCAGGTGCATCCGAGGTCTACTTATTGCCTAAACCAGCTCTTTTACCACCTGCCTTACATTCTGCTCTTCCTCGCACTCTTGACTTGGTACAGGAACAAATGCAAGCAGCACAGACTGCAAGTGCCACTTGGCTTCACTCCACAGCTGCCTAGAATGCTCTCCCCACTCCCAAATAGCATGTGTTCATTTTGCAGTATCTTTCCTCATGACTGTAGCTTACTATTCATTGCTCCCACACACTGGCTTCCACAGTAGGTTAGCCATCCCCTTAAAGGCAGTGTTTATGGCAGTGACTTCATTCACAGGCATCGTGACTCTTTAAAGAGGAGGAAAATTGCTACTGTTCTGTCCCCAGCTAGATGGATGCACAAGTCTTCTTCCAGCAGGAAGTATACACGATTACATCCTGCTGTCTTGGACAGTGCTGATGATTACTGGCCTCTGTAAAAGTGTTTATGCTAACCTTTGCTGCCTGTGGGATGGGAAACAGTCAGGTAAGTTCAGTTTGGGAGAAAAATAGAGACACCTTGCTTGTGATAGCTGTGCTGTGCCTGCACATTCCTAAAATCCCCTGCTATGGGAGAAGGGCTCTGCTCCTTGGACAAAGACCAGCAACTAGTCCAGAGTTCAAAGAAGCACAGGGAAGGATGGTTCGCTGATGACCTACTCTTTGTAGAGTCTTAGAACAGATGGAGCAGAATAGGACTAAGGGGAATATGAAGAGCAGCAGAAACTAATGGTTCCATTGGGATCAGCTTTTCGCATCTGATCTTCATTTTGAACAGCATGACATTGAGCAATGTCATTCTAGGTCAGCAAAATGATTCTTTGCTCAAGCCAAGAATGACTTAATTTTCTTATTACAAAGCATGCCCACTGAACACCTGGACATTGGAGAAATCTGTTACTCAAAGTAGCAAAACGAGATGTTGGTTCTCTGCTGTGAACTCAAGTTCAGTTCTGATTCTTGAGGGGCACAAAGTACAGTGGCTGGATGTGCATGTCCTTACTTCAGTGTGGGTCTGCGGTAGAGCATACAGGTCAGGGTCAGTTACAGCAAGAAAGCTGGGTAGAGCATGGGCATGCAGGGTATGAGATCACTGACAGTACCAGACAGCCTTTGGCAAAATGATCACAACATGGCTATGCACCAATTACCTATTCCCTGCTGTAATTCAGCTATGGGAATCCTTCTCCTACCGCCAAAGAGGTGAGCTATCCATAGAGAAGAATTCCAAATATCCTCCTACAGTTCTGGAACATGACTGAAAACCCAAGTGTGGAGCTTCAGAAAGTAGTCAGAGTTCTCATCAAAAGGTCACACACTGCCTCCTGTAATCTGGCTATGCTGGTTCTACTCAGAAAAGGGTGCAAGTGTATCTTCTGGTAGTAGAACTGGCAAAGCTGCCCCACTCCCTGAAAAAGACTTAAGACTTCTCTTCAGACTATTAAAACAAGTTTATATTAGCTCAGTACTTTGCACGATGGAAACAGATTTTGATCCAGCAATCAGCACACTAAAACTGCATTATCTTGGGGAATCTGGGCTTCATTTCTTTTCATTTGAGGCAGAATATTTTTGAGGGGATATTGCAGCTCTTGACCTTCAAGTATTATACTGAAATACCTATTTATCACATTTCTCTTCCCCCTCTCCTAAGTTAAAATCTATTCAATATTTTGCAAGTCAGTCTCACCGCTGTGAAACCTAGGAAAAGGCTCTTGCTATTTTAAGTTGTTCCAAGAGCTGTTACTGAATAACACTTCAGGTTAGGTTTTACCTAACAGACTAGCTGTAGTCTGCCTCAACATTCATCAACTTTAAAATTGTTATCTGCATATGACCTAATTTGACACTACTAGGGCTTACTTGTTACAGCTTTGTTTTATTTTTTGAAAGTCCATCCTCTGTAAAACTGTGATTTTCACTGGGAGAGAGAGCTGTTTAAAAGAGATCACTTGGTTGTCTACTCAGCATTTGAACATTTTGGACTGAAAGAAAACTGTCGTATTTTCCTTTCAGCTGATCTGAGTGCTCCTCACCACCATCTGCGGTTGGCATAAGCACTGCAAATTCTACAAGTGACAGAAAATTGAGAGAACCACAATTTGAAGCAATAATATCGTCAGTCCTTTACATAAGATTTCTTAAATGCAGCATACAAGTACAGTACTCATGCAAGCAGTTCAGATGTACTGTTTCTTGACATTTAAACTCTTCTTTCTGAGGAAACGGCTAATTCAATCTAGGGTTATTTTGTTTGCAAAGAAAGCAACTATTTTGGTATTACTGAAAAACCACTGAATAAAACCAATCCCAGGAGGCTGGGGCATTTTTAGTTCAGAGATATAGTTTTATCTAAACAATGTCAGCGATTCTCTACTAGACTGTATTTTTCAATTCATTTACTAGCATATTAAAAATCCAACTGATGTATTTTTGAGCTGTATCTTGTAGCTGAATTAGAAATAGTTGATTGCAAGTAGGTAATTCTTACAGAAAAAAAATCTACTATTTTGAAAACACGGTGTAGAGAGCACTCTCTGAAGGGCATCCTTGCCTAATCATGTCTCTTTTCTAATTCTGAAACTCCTTTGGAAGATGGAGAAAATAACTGACAATGTCAACCATCACCATCAAATGATGACCATTTATATTGTCCACATTGTTTATGTATAGCACAAACTACTCAATTAGTTGAAATAATAAATTCTCATTTTCTATTAGCTTGCAGTCAATTGGTACCTCCCAATGTTAGCACTTTCAGTAGCAAGCAAAGATGCACTACCAAAGTGCTATCATTTAATGGAAAATATTTATTACCCTTTCCAAAAACATCCTAATGCAGTTTCATTATTGCCTTAAAACTCAGATGACAGATTATTCCCCTTTAACTGTGCACAAATTATTATTAAAGAAGTCCATGTTTTGAAGCACCAGCAACACACAGGAAAAGATACTCTTTTCAGCCGAACCTTAGTTCATGCATGCATTCATTCATTCATTCCTGTTCAGCTGAAAGAGGAGCAAGTACAGTGGCCAATGCACAAAGCTTTTGAAGTATCAACACATACCATTGAGCTATGATATATTGAGTCATGGGCGAATGTTGGAAAACAAAATTATTTGCTGTCACTTGTGACTAATAGTGTAACATTCTTTTGTTGATCACAGAACAGCTGCCTTGGTGTTTTTTGAAGTGTGAAGTGTTTTATACTTCATAGAAACAAAAAAGTTTAAAGTGTTTTGTTGTTTAGAAGCTACACTTTTATGATTTGCCCCATTTTCATGCCATCTTATATCTGACAGTCCTTCAGGAACAATTGAGAAACTTGTGCATAAATTAGAACAAGCCTAGAAACAATTACTGCTTTCTTTACTGATCTGTGCAAAATCAATTCTTGTGTACACATACACTTTTCCCTGACCTGTTGACAGAACGTCACCATTATAACAACTGCCAGTGCCAGGGTAAGAGTATTGATATATGTAGAGCCAGTTAGGTACATGAAAGTGCTAACATGCCGAGTCAGCCTTCAAAAAGCCCTGGACAGTGTGTTAGCCTATGATTATTTCATGGGGAAAAAACAAAAAAAAAAATCATATTTGAATGCCAGAAAGTTAAAAGGCCAGTTTCACTCTGATAACAATTTCTTTTTGTCTGACCTAAGAAACCTTTTTTCCTTTTTTTAAAATTTAAATCAAAATTTAAATATTTATGTAAAAAGCATGTAAAGCAAGTCAGGATTCATTGGTTTTAATAGGGTTGCATCAACACAGACTGGTATCAAGCAGATGGCATTTCAGATTTCAACTAAAGGTTCTTCAGTGCTTCCAACAGCTGCTCTCATTTATTTGCATCATTCGGACCTGGTTCTTCAAACTGCAGTGTCAATATTTCTGAGGAAGCATTTGAAAAAGTTGAACACTTCCAAGAAGCCCTTTTGATGTGTTCACTCATGGAAGCAGGATTTTGTGACCGCGGTTCAAAGCCTACCTACAGCCCTTCGTAAGCCATACGCTTGGTAAGCTATTTATCATGCCAACAGAAGAGAACAAGAGACCAAGTCTGCGTTTTACCAAATAAGCCTCAAGTTCGAAGGCTTCCTTTCTGCCATCATTTCACTGTCCATGCGAGACGGGCTGAGTCGGGGAAGGGTGGAGGAAAGCGGAGTGCTCGCACCTCCTCTGTTGGCTACCGTCTACCATGGCACCGAGACACGGTCAGCAAGTCAGGGCACACCGGCCCAGCCGCCACCACGGGACTGTCCGCCCGGGCGCTGCTCTCTGAGGTGAGGCATCCCGCCCCGCCATGGCCGCGGGTCACGTCCGCACGCCCCTGCCACCCGTCTCGCCGGGCCGGGCCTGGCCTGCCCCCCTGCTGCTCGCCCGGCCCTCCTTCCCCCGCGCCTGGTGCTGACAACACATGGCGGCGGAACAAAGCCCCCATCGTTCCTCATCATCCCAAGTGGAGCGGCGACGAGCGGCCAACAGCCCCGACCACAGTAATTCATCAGCCTTCATCCACCCTGGGTATGGCCCCTCCCAAGCCTCCTGCCGCCCTGCCCTGCTCCGCCCGGCTCTGCTCGAGGAGCCGGCTTTCCCGTGACCTGCCTTGGTCCGGCCCCTCGGCGCTGGCACTGGAAGCTCTCCTCCCCTGTAGGGCCGTCCCACCCTGCACCTCACTTCCGGGGCGGCCATTTTGGGAGGTCGGCCGCCCGTGGCTGGTCGGTAGCGGGGGGCGGGCTAGGTCTCGGATTGCAGCGACAGCGGTGGCGGGGGGCAGTCTGCGAGTCGGTGAGTGTTGGGGGCGCTGCAGGGCTAGGGCCGCCACCCAGTGATAACAGCGCCTGTCTGCCCCCCATCATGTCGGACTTCGACAGCAACCCCTTCGCCGACCCGGACCTCAACAACCCCTTCAAGGTGAGGCTGCGGGCGACGTGAGCCTTCCTGGATGTCGCGGCGGCGGGAGAGCGCGCTGCGCCTAGCCACGGGCAGCCCGGGAGGTGGGGGAGGGAGAGGCCCCGGTCCTTCGCGGCGTGAGGGGGGGGGGGCGGCTCCCGCTGCGGGAAGTGGGGAAGGGCCAGCTGCAGTCGTGCTGTGGCCTCGGGACTGGCGGGCGCTGGCTGGCAATGGTGAGGGGGGCTGCCCCCCGCGGGTTTGGAGCAGGGCGGTGAGGAGGGCTGGTAGGATAGAAGCGGCTTCGGAAGCCCTAGAAACGGGCAGAGCCGTTTTACAAGTTCAGGTTTGCACGTGTCCTGCTGTTGATAAGATTAACGCAAATCGTGTTTCAGATGCGTTATTTTGGAGGAAAAAAAAATACAGGTTTCTTTATTTTGACGGTAACTTTGTGTATATGATACTAATACGGTCTTTTTTCTCCATTTTGACTGACCCAAATAGTTAAGCTTAGTGAATTTGCCCCGGTTTTCCCCTCTAGCCTCCTCCAAGCCCCTAGGAAGCTTACTTGCGGTTCTGAATTATTTCAGAAACATGCAGGGTACTGGTGGCCAGGTGTAAGTTCCATCCTGCTTCTCAGGATACTGCGTTGTAATGTACACTAAAGCTTTTAATTTTTGCACTATTGACTTGTCATACAGCTGAGAATTGTTTCTTCACCCACTGTTCTGGCTTCGGCTGTCAAAATGAGCTAACCTCCTTGGATGCTTCCCCTCTTTATATGTTTTCTTTCCTTGTTATTTGAAGCCAGCTCAATTAATTTATTGAGCTACTTACTTTAATAATCTCACTGAGCTTTTTTTTTGCTGCATTTTATTTCATGCTGACACTTTAAAGTGTGCTGATAGTGTATGGCTGTGAGTTTAGGTTGTCAGCTAGAATAATTAAGCTTTTAAAAAATTGAGCTGTCACATTTCAAAGATACTTCTGTGCAGTTAGCTGCTGGAAGCATAGTGTTACTGACATTTGTTAATTGGAGCATTGTCTGAATCATTAGTTTAGTTTTTATGGTCGTAAAATTCAGTTGATTGTATTCCTTAAGCTAGACACTGTTTTTGCACAATATTGTACACAGTGCAGTGACCTTGTGGATGAACAGCAGCCCTGGCATTGAGATTGCTGCCAACTGTTCTTTTAAATGCCTTTTGGCATCAAGCACTGAAAAAGTGTCATTGTTCTAGAATGTGTCTTCAGCAATAAAAACACGTGATGCTTTTCCTCACTTTTTGTAGCTGTTACAAAAATAACATCTAGCAAAATGTATTGTGTATAGATACACAGAGTGGTTAGGGGTATTGGAAGAAGTATAGTTGCTCCTGAATCACTCATTGGCCCAGGTAACTTGTCCCGTGTAGTGTTGCTAAGACCTAAGGTATGGACCTACATTAACCATACTTCCAGTTTGAAGACACAGCTTAAAGTGAAATAGTTTATTCCAGTTTCTCTTCAGGGGAAGACTTTTGTCGGGCAGAATCCACATTCTATTCATCTAGAATGTGTCATGATGAAAGGAGTCTACAAGAACTTCTCTGTAACTTGAAACTCACTGTCAGACACGCTTCTGGATTTCTTTTATTTGCAAAAATTCGTTTAGGAAAGTTGTACACTTTTCCTTTTTCAGAGGCTATTTTTTTGCATTTCATTCAGTCTTTGCTAACTTATGTCACATTCATTGCCCACAAAAAGTGATCTTGCATACCTTTAGTCATCCACACATTTAACTTGAAAGGGCAGAGGCCTCATATAAGCCAAACCTTGACTGCCGTTTCCTTTCAGCTTTGAAATTAGTGAGTATGAATGCATGTCTGCATTTAAGTTTTGTCTGACTATGTATTTTAACATACCTTATACACAGAACCAGTATTTCCAGGTGGACCCTGACAACCTAAGTAATGTTGACTGAACACCTCATTCCAATGTACTCATATTTTTATTTGTCTTTGCTTGATAATTTTGTTAGGTGTGATTAGTTGTTTTCCTTACTTTTGAAGTCACTGTGTGTGCTAATGTAGAATCACAAAGTAGTATGGCAGAGGGGGGACTGAACATGTCACATGGAAGAGCTGTTGCAAGGATCTACAGATATCTATAGATAGATCCTTCTTAAATATTTTGGTTTTACTAGTTGTCTGTGATCTGTTTGTGAGATTTCCTGTAACTATTCTCATGCATTTTAATAAAAGGATTTCAGCTGAGATTCTTGCTTGATGTTGAATCAAATAAATAATCTTCCCTAGGAAGATAAAGGTAAAGTGGAAACTTATAGTTTGCTTAGTATTTTGGGCAGTTGTTTTGGAAACCTAAAATTAAATTATGTTTCTATTTTGGTTCTACTAGAAGTAATGAAATTTGTAAAATAGAATTTCTTGTTTCAAATATTAGCTTACTTAGCTTGATTGTATAATATTTTTGATTTTGAGACAGTGGCTACTTAACTCTTAAAAAAAAGAAAAAACAAAACTTGAACTGAACCCAAAGGCTAATAGTATTCCTCTGTAAATAGCTGTCCTTCACATGCTGTACCAACAAAACCAAGAGATGGTTTGGTTTGAAAGACAAGAGGTAATGAAACAAAGATAAATAACATAACATTAAAAAGGTTTGATCATATTAAAGTTGTGCAGAAGAAAATGCATCCATGTACCATACAAATGAAGGTACAATAATCCTGCTATAATATGATGTAGCAGCATTGTGAAAAAATACCCATTTGGTGTGACCTCAAGTATCATAAATGAAAGCAGACCAATAATGAAAGCTGTTTAATTTCTTTCACTTAGAAGCAGTTGTCATAGCTTGTGAGTATGAATTCACACTTGGTCAAGTTATTAATGAGAAACAGTTCTACAGCACCCACACAGGGTGAACAGAGCAGGTAGGGTGATGGTAACTGCATTCATCCAAGAGTCTAGGGTGCTGGACAAGTCCATAGAGAGGAATCAGATCTTAGCTCAAGCTTGAAAGCCAGCTCAGGGTCAGGATGAGGCCCAGTGAAAGTAACCAGGTCAGCCAACAGTCCCGTGATGACTGCGCAAGTCCTTAGCGATGAGGTGAGTCTGACCAGCTTGGGCCAGTTTGGGCATCCTCAGGGTGGTGACAGGTTATTTTTTTAATAGACTAACCCAGCAGAAATAAATTTTGTATGACAAAGGCAAATTTCTAATGTAGCTATCTCCTTGTCCTTTTTTCTTCTTTCTTTTTTAAATGTCGTAAGATCGGAAATAGTTGTCATCTTGGGTGGTGATACAGTTACAAAGGTTCTGAAACAGCAGTCTCATGAAATCCAGTGTAAATTTCATATAATCTGAAACAATTCAACACTTCTACAATAAAATATGTTGATTCTGGTTTTGGTTGTTATTTTTTAAAATTATTTTTTAGTGTAAGTGTATGATACTACTACTAAGAGAAGAAATTCTTTTTTTTTTTTTTTTTTTAAGTGGAGCTATGAATTTCACAGACCTTTGTGGCTTGGCTGACAGACTGTAAAAGGTTTGAGGGCTGGTTAGTCATTCAAACATATGGAACAGTTACTTATAAGTGACTGTAGAAACTGAGTTCTGTTATGAATTCTGTTGGGGTGGTTCATCTGATGTGTTCAGAGCTCTGAGCAGGTGCAGATATTTGATACTACAGAAATTAATGATAGGACTGAAAACTAATACATATTTTTGTTTAAATGTGAATGGTGACCTTCAGGTAAAAGCCGAACCTCTGCATGATATGCATGAAGATTTAAACAGAGTGGCCTATGTCTTACTCAGTTTTAGTGTGGAAGGACACAATCATGAAAACCTCAGATGTATGTGTTGTTAATTATATGAGTAGTTTCTTTGGGTGGGATTATGTATGCAAACTGTGGTTACTTTCAAGTCGGTGGTCCAGAAAAACTGCCATTCTTGTGTGGATGTCAGAGATGCTCTAAGATACCTAAATCGGTGTTAGGCACCTGACTTGCTCTCACTGAGGTCACAGGATTACTTGAGTCAGTAGAGCTAGATATATGTTAAGTGTTTAAATTTACTGCAAAGGTAATTCCAGTTATAAATTGAATATTACGCTTAATCTGACTCACGTGAGCACAAATTAATCTAGCTGGTTTGGCGGGAAGTGCAGGCTGGAAGTTTTATGCTGAAGCTAATGATTCAGATGACTGCTACCTTCTTTGGCAGCAGAATCTACACGGTTAACACGTTGCTTCCTCAAGTGAAGTTAAAATGATAGAAACTTACAGGAAGAAAGATAATTGTTAATTATTTTGGAAGAATTAAGTGTTTCTGCAGTATTTGTACCTTAGCATTCAAAAGTTTGGTAGTGTGCCTATATGCATAACTGAGTTTTTGTTCTTTTGTATGACTATGAAATATACCCAGTTAAGTTGTCTGGCTTTAAAATAGCCAAGCACATAAAATATTTTTCTGACTTTATTACCTGGTTTCCCTTCATGGCTTCAAAATTTATAAATCTCTCTAAATCTTGCATAATTTAATGCTGCACATCACAGTATTGGAAGTGCCCTTTAGCTGGGCTACATAGTAGTTAGCTTCAAGAGTACACTTCACCAGTGCTGTAACCTGCATTGTAATCTATTAAAACTAAGGTGTTTTAATAGATAGTATCAGTCAGAGTTGCATTTTCTTTCCAGATTTTTGTTGGAAGTGTTAGCACATACAGCCATTAGTATTATTATTGCACTGTATGCTGAGATTCAACGTTACAAAGAGGAACACAGCGTGTTTCAGAGCAGAGGAAGGACAAATACTTGAGACTAGCTATGAGATGGAGATTATGTTTTTAGATGTCCAGCTCTCCATTGCAGGGTGGGGCTGACTAGCCCTGACTTCTCTCCAACTGTCTTCCCAGTGTTGAGGTAGTCAGAGAGCTGTATCTGGGGAAGTAAGAGGGCATGTGTGTTATGGCACTCCATAGCCAAAAAACTGCTCCACCACTCACCAGGGAAATAC